TTACTGCTTTGGTATTTATAATACTCTCTCTCTCTCTAAAGGGTAAGTGAACAGATCTGCAAAGCTATTAGAAAATTCCCTATAACGACGTCGCATATTTTGGGACCCTCTACGCGCAGGATCGCACGAGTCACGACGCCTAGTCGTATCGACACGATCGAAAACAATTTCGAACAAACGAATCGCTCGTTGACCACAGGCTACGATGCACGCGTACTATTTCAAAGCGTGCCTGGAACTGTTGTCCAACTGCGAAACGAATCACGGTCGTAATTAGCTAATTAATGGCACCGAAGATAATTGCTGGACTGGCCTACGCGATATTTGTTGGGTAGGCGGTCGATAGGCTCACCCTAAATAAACTCGAACCATTTCGCGCGATTCGATATGTCCGTTTAATTACGTGGAAAGACTGCCACGAGTAGCGAAATCCGCTCTTCGTCATCCGTGTCATCGATCAGCCAGTCGCGAATGCTTGGAACAGAGGAAACGGACGCAGAAAGACTGCGAGAAGTCTGCGAGTTAATCGAGAATGCTTCAGAGCTGGGTTAAAGAGGTGGCGGGAGGAAAGAGGGGTCCCTGTTGGTAAGCTATGCTACTCTGTCGTTAAGACAGTGGTCTGCGTCGACAAGATGGCGTACTCTGTCGATAAAAATCGGTAACGTAGAGCATTTCGTCAATAAAGTAGATTAGTAGATCGTACTATCGTTATTGTAGACCGATCTCTTAACTGGTGACTTTCTCCTAACACATTACGAATCACTGACCGAGTATTCATGCAGTGTTCATCGCCACATGATAAATACGTATACATATAACTTCTTTTATTATACTTTCTTGATTTGGTTCCCAAGCACTTCGCAACGTCACCGACATCTTGCCAACGGCTCTGTGATTCAATGTGATTCGATTTCTGGCCAGAAAATGAGCAACTGAAATTGTACGAGCTAACTGTCAATCGGTCTTATATCTTCACTATTTTATGGATCTTCTTTGCAATGACAAAGTTATTCAGTTAGCATTTCTACTGGATTCGACTAAACTCAAAATACTTCAACAGCTGGCGTAACCAACGAGTTTACGAACTATCAGAATTGTTACGTTCGTAGTTAATGGTTAATTCCGAACTGGTACATCTATTTGCGTTAGCTCGTACCGAACATTTATCTTTGGCGATGTCCAGACAGGCGGATCGTAGAACGAAAAACGATGCTTGCTCGAGAGAAAGCGGAAATGCGACAGGTGGTTGGCGGAGAAGGGCGAAATACATTCAATTAAGCGACTTCCGGTGTCACGTGCCAGCTGTAATTAACGACGAGCAACTCTTCTGGATGTGTGTAACGAATGAGAACACCTTTAGTGTCCTTTTTCCTTATTATTCAAATATAAGTCCCTCTGAACTTATTATTTGATCGTAACTGCTATACAAGATAGTTTTAAGTGTGACGATTTTATGGTTCTCTGCTATTCATCCGAAGTCACTTGTAGTCCTCTGCGGTACCATGTTGATCCTTTAGATTCAAAGATCTTCAACAGGTCTGAAGAGTAGAGGCTACTGTTTCTCTGATAACATCTGATAGCAAATGAAGCAATGTACTCGAATTAAAATTTATTCTTCTATATTGCATATTTTCCATGTCAACAATTCTCCAAAAGTGGCCTGTTTCTTTTTACAGTCGAGATAGTTGGTCACCTTTGAGAATGAATTCCAAGGCAATCATTTCCCAATTAATAATGTGACAAACGTGAATTGTTCCTGCCGGTACCCTCTTGGTTTTCATGGTGACAGCTCGCGGTTGACTTTTCCTGGAGTTAATTGTTCGCACTCGCCTCGAATATCCTTTAAAAGCTGGTCACGCTCGAACGTACGACGTAGAAGAATGGCGCGCTCCTGTCTCCGAAGCGATTCATTAGACTAATTGGTGGACTAACGAGAACTCGAACAAATTATCGCCAGAGGAATGCACCAATTTTTCGAAGCACCAGATACGCCTCTGCTGAACGGAACAATCCCCGTTGATTTCTTTAATCAAAGAAGCAAAGCTTTTTTCCGAGCAATCGGACAGTTGTCCCGTGTTAAATTGAAACGAAGTACAACAAAATGTCCGCTGATTTATTTTCTTATTTTTCAGCGAGCAAGGATAGATGAGGTATCGCGACTGTTTTCCACAAGTTTGATTAAACGAGTGACTTTGTTTAAGAGTTAGTTATTTCGATTATGAAGTTCGCAGTCTCTGAATAATACTCTTGGGTGGTCGAGTGTTTGTTGCAGTCGGATCGCTTCAGTTGCAAAACAAACGTAGATCTTGAAAAATGACCGTTTGCCAAACGGCGTTGCCATTTTAAGCACACATAAAAAATCTTTTCTCAATCTTCAAGATACATACAAATATCGTGCAGAAGGGGAAGTCTTAACTTGCACTCGTTCCCTTGTAATTAATTTCCAAAGAAGACTTGTATTATGAAAAGGTCACAGCCCTAGGGATTCTCTATCACTGTATCTCTACGATTATGTGGAATTTAAACATGAAATAAACTGTGGAAGGGAGTAAATCGTGTAATATATTAAACGCGACGTCACTGACAATGGGATCCAGATAAAAAGACGTGAACGTGCAGGTTCTGTGATTAGGAGAGAAGCTCGGTCGTGGGTGCGACCAGAAAATGGAAGCAGAGATCAAGATCGCGTTACGCCAGCTAGGAAAGTTTCGAAGCTCGAGACTGGAGTTATAATTCCCTGGTCAATCTCCGACTTTGTAATCGCTCTATTCCCTTAACGAGACTGACCAGATGAACCCACGTAGCCGCGAACCAGCGAAACTACAAATTGCTACAGCCACGGCGGCCATCTTTAGCAGGTATCGACGCCTTCCGCGTTTTCGAAGTATTTCGAGTAAGTTGAAATCCAAATTTCGGTAGTTCGAGGGAAAAAATTAGTCTATTCCATGACTAAAAACTTGAGCACAGGTATGGCGCATGTCAAAGGACGCTGCGTCGATATTCTTACGATAGGATTGTGTGATAAGATGGATGTTCGATATTTATGCCTGAAATTTACATTTTAATTTGATTAGCATTACCTGCTGGCTCAGCCTGTTGATAGATTAATTAATATTGTTGCGCCGGGGAGTGATACATCGCGGAGTACCCGTTATATTAGTCAGGATTTATAAACAAACAGGAATTCAAAGGTTTATTTACAGCAGGTCAAGAATATCGGCACATCCGAACTGTACGAGATCTCTCGCTAAATTGTCCACAGAAATAATTGCCTGGCGAAATTAATGTTTGTTAATAGGGATTGATAATACAGACTTTCTCAGTGTCTAAATCAAATTTCTTTTTCCTGTTCGATTGCCATTCTCTCGTGTTGCAGTTAGCGGCGTGGACTCTATTAAAGGACTTTTAGTCTTTCCCCTCGCCTTTGTCACGCTTACGCGTAACGAAACATCCCTACAGACGATCGAAGTGTCGCATTGACGAAAGTTAAACGTACTTCCTGAGAAGTCTTTTCTTCCGATGCGGTAGGCGACGCTAATTAAAGTAGCGAACGTCGCTAACGCCTAACGAGACGGAGACGCCCCGACACACGAACCGCCTAACTGAAAGACATCCGAACCGCCAGTAGACGCAGTCAAACGCAAGAATGATTCTCTGCCTTCCCGTTAATCCTTCGACTGTTATTGTTAGCGAGTAACATTTTCAACAAGGAATAATCAAAACTCAAGCTAGCAAATAAACATTTACCGCGTTATCTCTTCTAAAACGTATTGAATATTGCCACTTTATGTATGCCATAAAGTCACGAAAATATGAATATGTTAGTACGATAACGTTTAAGATGCCTATGCTTGTGATTTCGATAAAACTTGTATAATTCTGACCTAATCGAGATGAAATTTGTTTTCGGCTGCTCTTTATGCTGCAACGGAGAATGTAGGGCACTTGAGTAGAGCTTTTAAGAACATTCGCTGTAACTGCGATTATGTTAGCTATACGTTCTCGCAACGTTCAAAATGCCTGTGTTTGTGATTTCGCTAAAACTTGTATAATTCTGACCTAATCGAGATGAAATTTGTTTTCGGCTGATCTTTATGCTGCAACGGAGAATGTAGGGCACTTGAGTAGAGCTTTTAAGAACATTCGCTGTAATTGTGATCATGTTAGCTATGCGTTTGTGACTTCCCTAAAACTCCTACTATATTTTTCCCAGTTTAGCTGAAATTTTCTTTAGTTACTTCTCATGTTTCGACAGAAAGCATATGCCACTTGATTCGTTATAATTAACAACACGAGCTTCATAAACCGTATGTTTGTGACCTCCCTGTAACTACTGCTGTAATTCTCTCAATTTAGCTGAAATTTTGTATGGTTACTTCTCGTGTTTCGATAGAAAATATATCCCACTTGATTCATTATAATTAACAACGCGAGCTTCATAAACCGTATGTTTGTGACCTCCCTGTGACTACTGCTATATTTTTCCCAATTTAGCTGAAATTTTATTTGGTTACTTCCTATATTTCGACAGAAAACATATGCCACTTGATGCATTGTAATTCGCAAGCTTCATAAACCGTATGTTTGTGACCTCCCTGTAACTACTACTATA